ATCCTGCAACAGAAAAGGAGACTGTCACAGTTTTAAAACTGAGAGGCAAACATTGCTAATATTGACTTGCAGACATTCTACTTAGGAATCTATCATAAACCTATTAATTACCATGCTAAATATATTCTAGATTTATTACTGTGCCCGGTGAGTAATTAAAGACAAAAATTAGATGGCTTATATCGTTTTCCCTGAGAGTCAAAAATTACACACCAGAGAGAAACCATTTTATTCTCTCTCTCCAACTAAAAATAGGAGCTGGCTCACCAAAATCAAGTTTTCCTAAAACCAGCTGAGTAAGTGACATAGAGGAAAAGGAACATTTAGCTGCAAATGCCGGGATTCCAGGGCCGAGGGCAAGTTTCTGTAGGAAGTGGTTCCCGTTAGAACTCCTGGGTCTGCATAGGTGTCCTGGCAGGTGAAGAGAAACACCTGAAAAGCTCTAGAGGCCATGAAGATCCCAGGTATGTGCTAAACCTCGAAAAACAAACAGCTGCTCCTTCCCTAGCTCGGAGCACTGGGGAACAGACTAAGGAACAGTAAAATGACTGCTTTTTCCTTTTTAAGAAGCACTGTTCTCATGACACAGTACATTTATAACAGCTGGTCCCTGAAATGTGGCCAAGCCTCAGGCAGGGAACAATGAGTCACTGGGGGTGGGGGGCGCTTTCAACCCACTCCTCACACCTCCCTCCAGCAGCTTCCCACGTACGTCACTGCTGTGTCTCCCACTGCCCCTCCGTCCTGCTAAGAGTCCCGGCCTTGACCGGCCAAGTTACTGGCACAAGGCACAATTCTCGCAGCCCTGCTGGGCCAGGACAATCAGAACCAGCACAGGCACTGTCTGCCCTGTGGTCTGGCTCCCCCTGGCCCGAACTCCTCCCTCAGGGATCAGAGACCCGGGAACTGGGCCCGGGGAGGAAGGTGCCGGCGAGGTGGACGGCAGCGCAGCCCACAGGCTTTTGCTCCGGCTCCCTTGCGGCCGCGGGCACAAGGCTGAGCTTTCCTTATTCAATGGGGTCGTTCAAAGGGCACGCAGAAAGAGTTTCCCTCTTGGCAGAGGTGAGACCACCGCACACTGAGCGGGGGTGGGGGACATGACAGAGAGACTGAGGAGAGTGACACTTAACGCCAGACCAGTGCGACGACCCTTACAGGAGACTCCCAGATAGCTCTGCAGGAAACAGGAATTCCACCCTCGTCTGGGTCCCCTCTGGCCCCGCCCCTCCACTACCCAGCGCAGCCCAGAGAGCTCAGAGGTGGGTGATGGCAGAGGGGGCGTGGTGAGGGTATCTTCTCCCTACACTCAGATCCTCCCTCACCAGCTGCCTTTGTGATGCAGATGACAGGCTCCAGACACTCAGGTGAGCAGAGCTACTCTGTCATGGTAGGGGGGTGTGTGACCTTGAACTGTAGCTGAACCCACCCTCTCTGAACTGATTTGAATTCGTTTTTCCTATCACAGTGACCGTTTCTATTTGTGCTCTTTGCCTTTGGCAGACCAGGAGATTCAAGCCTCTCCTGGTGGCCAATCACCACAACTGCATGCACACATCGGTGCAAAAGGAACTGTTGGGAGCTGTTTAAACACCACCTAGAGAAACATCACTAAAACTAAGACTGACGAAAGGATCCATCACCAACGTCATGAGCTGTCCATCCCCTCAGATGAGCAGCTCGGATGAGATCATTTCTAGGAGGATTTTAAGAGCTCTCAGAAGAACCAGACATAGTTACTGATTTAATCCGAGCTTGATCATCACATAGTACTGAGGACGGTGACTTGGGAACAGCAGTTTGGAACTGGTGCTTTTGTTTGTGTTTGAATCTCATCTATTTGTTTGATCAAAACTGGAAATAATACAAACCCTCGGAGGGCAGGGTCCACAAACAATTCACCTTTGTATCCTTCCTAGCTTAACTGTACCTAGAACAAAGGACATACTCAAATGTTCACCAGATTGTTGGCTTTAAATTTTAGGTTCACATGGCTGATACAGTGTAGTTCTCAGAACAGATAAGCAAAATGAAATCTACTCTGTAACTGTCACTTACAATGCCAGATAAATAACCACCTGCAATGATTATAAGAACCAAACTCGAAAGGTGGTATTGACAAAGGAAACATGGGCAGCCTGTCTGCCTGAAATCTAGGCAGCAGACTGATGGGTAAACCTTGATTGGAAAGAGTCTCCCAAAATTCTGCTCTTTTAATTTCCACGCCAGAAGATTAGATTACTCTTAAAAATCAAGACTACTGATAATCTCAAAAGTGCATGCTTCTTTTTTTTCCCTATAGAAAGAGTTTTGAGGGATTGATTAATAAAGGGTCTGATGTTTCCTAATGTTGAGATTAGCTACCATGTAAGCATACTACTTTAAAAAGCTCTGATTCCCCTTGGATTTTCATAAGGCTTTACCAAGTCACATTTGAATTCCAGCTGTCCTAACTCATCAGCCAGCACACATTTCATTTTGATCCTGTAACTTGGCTATAGTTCTGACTTCACAGTGTAATGTTACAGAGGTGACTTCTAGGGTTTGCAACAGCGTTTGGGGGGCAGGAGGGAGACTATTACTTTTGACTACGTACTTGTCAAGTATTCTAAAAATAATTATCATTGTTTTCCCTTTTGCAATTTTAAATAAGTGCCATAATTTCTCTCAAAGGAGGTAAACTTACATTTCTTTCTTGAATTCTTCCATTTTTTGGTTCTCTACAGTCAGAAGTTCTTTTGATTTGTTCAGCTCTTCCATATTTTTCAAGTTGTTTTCTTTAAGTGTATCCAACTTAAACACCAAGAGAAAAAAACTTGATGAAATTATTTCATTTTCCAATCACATGACTGGACAGACAAATCATTCATGAAAAGGTGCCTTAGAAAGGTGAAATTAGTCATTTGCAAAACAAACAAAAAGATCACCTGGATGAAGAGATTATAAATCATCAAGTCTATTATAAACTGCAACCTCCCCCTTACGTTAGACATGTCCTGTACACCTGGCCAAAATGTCAAACTAAATTGCTACATAAATTAAAGCAAAAGTTTTCTTTGTATACAATTGTATACAATTCTCAAAATTTATCATTGAACTTGCTATTCATGTATAATCCATCTTAAAAAAAAAACAAAAGGAAATTGCAGAGGCATGCCATCAGCAAGGATTAATTCTCTGTAATGAAAATAAACCCCTTTCTTCCCCAAAGACTAGTCATTTAGGATATGATATTTTTCAATGTCAGTACCAAACTTCTATGGTCCTCATTATAAAAATTATTGGGATATTTTTAGATGGGAAAAGATTTAGTTATTCATCTCAACTTCAATCTAAAAAGGAAAAGGCCATGTAGTGAGACTGAAAAGCACTCACTCACATTCAGCCCTATCACCTGCCCATGGGGGACATAGCCAGCCTAGGTCCTGGCCCCTGGTGGGAAAGCCAGACACATTACTAGAATGAGCGGGGATGTCCAACCACAGGCTCTGGCAGGTGGCTGGAGTTCAAGGTGTGCATCCCCCAAGGATGGGGAGCTCGTCACGGGCAATCCATTACACAGGGTATGCTTCTGGCGCCTTGCTGGCTTTCTAGGACTTGTATAGTTATCTCTTACAGCCAAAGGTATTTCTGTCCTGTCACCTGCTACCAGTCAGGAGCCCTAGAAAGTGTCTTGCTAGTTTTAACACGACAATCTCCCTTTTAATGCTCCCTAACATTCCAGATTCATGGAATGTTCAGTGGGTCCAAAAACTGATTCCTCCAGTCTGTATTCTGGCTGTAACAAGGGGTATGGTTTAGAAGCACACAATTCTCCCTGAATCCATCTTCAAAGGTTAGAGACATTCCCTAAAATCTTCTTATTTTAGCTTCTAATTTTGGTTATCATCTATTATTTTTGATGCTTTTATATTTTCAGCTTAAGTCCTCTTCTGTTAGGACTGTCAATTCCTAAACGTACTATTTTTTTTAATTTTTTTAAATTTATTTTTTTATACAGCAGGTTCTTATTAGTCATCAAGTTTATAAACATACCCTTTTCTATGTCAAGTTTTATTTACCCTATAATTATCTCAAAATGTTCATGTCTTTATGGATTTCAATCATTGACCTTCCTTCGTGAGAAGGCCTGATCTTTACAGTAGCTATTCAATGCGGCTATCCGGATTTTCCCTGGCTTTAATTTCTTAACCTCTTACCTGACTCTCGCTTTAAAAAGCATTTCAAGTTCTACAGAACTTCACATAACTATTTCGGCGAAGCAATCTGCTTGAGATTTATGTAACAGCTTTCCAAAGAAAGAAAGGGTTGGTATGAGCTGGGGGTGGGGGGACTGGGAATCAAAGGAAGGTGCAAGAATAAGAAATGCTACTTCTGGACAGAATCAAAATTATCTTGAGGCCACAAATCTATCCAAGACCCAGAAGTGACTGATTCAAAATGAGACAAAAGGGAACCAGTACTGAATTAGGCCAAGAAAAAGGCCTATGTCAAACTCAGGGCTGCGGGATGGAATTCAGTGGCTCAAAGTTGGGAGACAGTTGAGGAAAAAAGCATATGTGATTTAAGATAAAAAATACAAAAGCTAGAGAATGTTATCGGTACCTCCTCTCATTAGTTCTATCACTGAACAGTTATCACAGAAAGCCACGCTGTTAGGGTTTTCCCCTCCTTTTTTAAAGGTTGATCCTACTAAATAAGTAATGAAGTAATACACTTTATTTAATATTATCATCCGGGTGTACGTTCGACTCCACTAACATAGATCAAATCTGTGTAAGGCCACACTTCAAAAAATAAACAATCCTGAGTTAGTGATCAAACACTCCGTGAAGTCGATAAGCTGTCCTTTGTACAAAAAGCCATTTAAATCTGATTACTTCGTTCTGCAGTTTTTCATTTGTTTGCTTGGAATCCTGCAAGGAGGCCAGAGTTTCCGTCTTCTCTTTGGTCATCTGTTCCATTATCTGCATGGCATCTTCTGCTGTTTGAGCAGCCTAAATACGAGAAAGCACTGTGAGAAATGAGGGCACCCCTCACCAACGCGGGGAGGTGACTAACACTCAGGCCATGGGCTCAGGGTCTGTGTGGTGAAGGGAATCACACAGAGACGGTGAGCCAGTCGCTGATCCCATGCCGAAGCAGACAGACCAAGACATCAAAGGTTTTTACTCTGAAGCAGAACAAAGTTATAGACCCTTTTTGTGCCATGTTTTCAACAGGCCAACTGTAATATGCAATTTGTGTATTTTCAGACCCCTCTAAACCTACATTTTCTAAGTTCCAAGTTCCACTAACAACAGTGCTCACTATTCTGACTCATGTTGGAGAGAAATGCTTAGCAATAATAAAGAGTAACATCCTTATGTGGCCGAATGTTTCTCTTCATCATATTTATTGTTAAAAATTTAAAATACTATTCTTGCTATCTCAAATTTGGGGCTTTTGAGATCACTTGGAATTTAGGTTGGGAACTTCTCAAAAATAAAAATTATTTGGGCAATTACAGTGTAAGGCTCAAGTGTTTAATGAGAAGCACTGAATGACAAAGTCGATGAGAAGCTGTAGGTAATGAACATAAGCATGGCTGTGAATAAAAAAGATAACATGCATATGGAAACAAAGCCTTAGCTGATAAGATACTGAAGAAAATCACCTAAGTGAATTAAAATCTTTTTAGGCACTTGCTTACAATTTCATGTGGTCTAACAAAGTTTATGGCAATTCTGCCTTTATACCTTCCCTGTTACCAACTGTGGAGGTTTCCCTGGAATCTTCCAATTCGGAAGGAATACACACAATGAAACAATTAAAAGTCACATAGAAGATACTTTGTTTTAACATGTGCCCATTTTACTTGTTCTTAAGCCTTTAAGAACCACGGTTGCCTTTTTCACAAAAAGTTCTCCCTACATAAAAAAAAATCTATCCTTTTTATTCACAGTTTGCAATTTTTTCTAATGGAGAGGGACAACTGCAATTAGACATTTAGTAAAGAGTTGCCCTTTCAGGTGGCGACAAAGAGCTTGAGATATCTAAGCCAGTGATTAAATGGGGTGGGCTTCCTTCTGCAGAAATGAAGACAAATCCCTCAGCCACTGCAGGGTTAGTGCACAGGGTTAGGCCAGGTGCTCAACACTTGAACCTCCCAGTTTACCGTAAAGGACTGCAGAGTCTCGAGCTCTCTAATTCTAAGAGCGAGCTTGCTCTTGTCTTTCCTCAAAATACGGTTTTCATTTTGAGATTCTAGGAGGTTGACTGAGATATGGCTGTTGGTTTTGGCCAACTGGCTGATCTCTTTCTGAAGGATGAAGTAGCTTTTGGCCAGCTTCTCCTTCTCCTTCAGGAGCTCGTCCTTTTTCAGCATCATCTCTCTTTTCTCAGCCAGGAGGTTCTTGTTGTCCTGCATCACCCTGGCCCACTCGGCCAGGGTCACCTCGTGGTTCAGCCGCAGGTCATCCAGCATCTTGGTGAGGTAGCTGTGCAGCTCCTGCAGTTCCAGCTTGGATTTGGATAAGGCAGCAAAATCGCTCTTCAGAGTCTCTATGTTGGTGGCCAGTTGAGCCGTCTCTGCACTCAAGAGTTCCTTCTCCTTAACAATCTCCGCCACTTTCTGCTCTGAGTTGGTCTTGTCTTGGATTAGCAGAGAGTTCTCGGACTGGAGCTCCTTGGTGCGCACTCTCAGAGCCTCCACCTCCTGCTCCAGGAGCGCCACTCTCCCGTGGAGTCTGTTGTTTTCATACAAGGATGACTCTTTGTCCTGGGTCCTGGCTTCTTTCTCCAGGATTAGGGACTGCTGCATCATGTGGATCTTCTCATTTAACTTCTGACACTCTTCTTGCAGGTTCAACCCATCCTTCAGCAAGATATTCTTTTCGGAACAGCAAGCCTTGAGTTCAGCGTTCAAACTCTCCTTTGCTTGCAGTATGTTAGTGTGTTCTTTTTCTAGAGTCTTTTTGGCATTTTGAGCCTCTTTCAGCATCAAAGCGAGATCACACTTGGTGGCTGCGAGTTCTTGGTTTTCCTTTTTTCTCTCTTGAAGCTCTTTCTTCAGAGCATCAAGATTACGGAGCAGTTTCATCTTCTCGTGCACAATGATTCTTCTGTTTGCAGACTCTTGATCGTATTTCTTTTTAAGGTCTTCTATGGCTTTGATGGAATTCTCTCTTTCTGCAAGTAAATCTGTATTTTGCGTTTCCAGTACAGATTTTTCTTTCAAGAGACGATCCTGCTGCTTTTTGAGCTTAGTGATTTTCTGACAAGCCATCTCCTTCTCAGAAGTTAGGTAAGTGATCTTCTCGTTCAGGTTCATCTCGATGTGGGCAGCCTCTTCCGAGCATTTGTTGAGTTTTTCAGTGATGAGCCTATTTTCATTTAGAAGTTCTTCTTTTTGGGCCAAGAGCCTTCTCTCAGATGAGGCCAAGGTTTCTTTTCCATGCAGAAGCTGGATGCACTCGGAGTCTGTGATCTCCCGACTGGTCTTAATTTCTTCCAGCAGCTTGGTGAGACTTGTGTTTGTGGCCTGAAGGTGCAGAGTCTCCAGCTCGGCCTCCCTCAGAGCTTTGCTGGCCTCCTGCAGCTGCGCGCAGAGCCCACTGGCTTCCGTGCTGAGCAGATGTTTGACCTGGAGGGCAGCCTCCAGGCTGGCATTCAGCTTTTCCTGATCTTGAAGCAGCATGTCCTTCTCAAACTGCAGATCTTTGCTGTTTTGGAGGAGATGGTCTCTTTCGACCTTTAAGGCTATGCACATGTTATCAAGACCTGACTGTTTCTCCAAAGCTGACTTTTTCTCAGTTGTGAGATTTTCCATCTCCTGCACCAAGTTTTTCTGATCTTTCACTAGCTCCTCATAGGCGTTCTGAAGCTTCTGAATAATTTCATCTTTATCTTCAGCCAACGCAAGGTTTTCAGTTACAAGCTTCTTGATATGATCCTCCAGGTGATCTTTTTCTTCCAGATTCTTCTTAGACTCAGCCATCAAAATATCTCGGCTGAACTGGAGTTCCTCTGTGAGTGCCTGCAAGCTTGCTTTGGAAGCCTGCAAAGACTCATTTTCCATATTCATCTTCAAGAGTTATTCCTGTGCGTTATTGATTTCTTTAAGTAATTTCTCTCTCTCAACAGCCAAAGCTGCTTTATTGAGCTGTTCCTGCTGATAAAGCTTTTCAGCATCTTGCTTTTCCTCTAAGACTTTCTCCTTTGCTAAATTAAGAGTTTCGTTTACTGACCATAGCTTCTGTTGGTCTTCCTGAAGTAAAGTTATTTTGGCCTCCACCTCTACAAGCTTTGACAAAAGTGAACCTTTTTCTAACTTTAAAGCATTTCCCTCCTGTGCAAGAAGCTGCTTCTCTGATTTCAGACCCCTCAGCTCTTCTGACATTAGTTCAATTTCTTTTTTGGCTGATGTTAATAAGTAAGTTAGCGACTACAGAAACAAAAGACGGAAAGAATGGAAACAAAATGAAATCAAGCAGACAAATGCAAGCCCGAATAACTTAATGTAACCTAAGCCATAAAAGTTAAAAAAATTTACAATAACTGTCATAGAAACTATCTGGAGAACAGGGGGAAGAAACTCGATGAACAGAGCCCATAAAAGGATAATGCAAAGCAAGTTTAGCTTTGCAAAGTGCTGATATATCTACTGGTTTATCTTTGAAAAAACTTTTGAAGTATTCCTGATAGACACCTAGAAGATACAAACAGTAGTTTAACTTTGACGTCAGGGCATGAAATTCTTTCCTGCCATTCCAATTATCCAATTGTTTCTATTGTAGAAGGGATTCATAGAATTTTTAAAAACACAATCCAAAGAACTACAAAAAGTGAGTATACTTTAACCAACAGAGAGGAGGAAGGGCAAGGTATTATAAACTGTTGCTTTTCAAACTAAATGCAGAACCTTAATTACTAAAGGACCTGGCCTGAGACTGATTTAGCTTCAATATTACATATAACTTAGTAAAAATACAGACTAATTTGCTAGTCTTTGGTGACCAAAATAAATGGGCTTTAAAAAATTGTATTGGGGGCTTCCCTGGTGGCAGAGTGGTTGAGAGTCCGCCTGCCGATGCAGGGGACACGGGTTCGTGCCCCGGTCTGGGAAGATCCCACATGCCGCGGAGCGGCTAGGCCTGTGAGCCATGGCCACGGAGCCTGTGCGTCAGGAGCCTGTGCTCCGCAACAGGAGAGGCCACAACAGTGAGAGGCCCGCGTACAGCAAAAAAAAAAAAAAAAAAAAAAGTGTATTGGTTTATAAAGTAAATTGACCACAATGTCTCTACCAGTGCTGTCCAGAACTTTCCGCAATGATACAAATGGACTTTATCTGCGCTGTCCATTGTGGTAGCCACTAACCACACGTGCGGTGCTTGCGACTGAGAGGATGAATTTATAACTTGAACTAATTTAGATTTAAATGGCCACATGTAGCTAGTGGCTACTGTACTGGACGGCACAGCTATAGTTCATTGGCTCTTAAACTAGGGAACATGGGAGCATTGTGGGCTCCATGAATCTCCTGAGATTTCATCTAAAACTTGTTGAGTGTATATATCAGCTTTCCTGGGGAAAATATCTTAAGGTTTCATCAGATTCTCAAATGAGTCTGTTGAGCCCCTGCTGTTGACAACATTGAGATTCACAGAAATCGGATATCCAGATAACTTTGGAGGGGGAACAATCCTGGCGTTTTAACCAAATGATCCTTATAAAAACAACAACAAACAAAATTAATGAGCCTTTACACAAACCACTAGAATGCTGTGGTTTGGTCAGGCTGCAACATTTTAAGGGAAACACTAAAAAACTAGAGTCTGTTTTTTACTAGATAAAGGGAACCACAAAGACAAAAACTCTGGAAATTATACTCAGTTGTTAAATGGTTCATAAACCTGGAGACACATCACAGGGAAAAGAGAAAGCTTTGATGGACAGCATGTAGAAGAAAGAAAATTTAGGTATCTTATACAAGACATATATTACATGTCATGCTACACTTATATTTATAAGTTTTAAATGGGCTCTGTTTCAAGTCCTATGTATGTTCTTTTCTATTTTCTTTCTACTAAACTCATATATATATATATATATATAAACATTTCTCTGACACATTAAAAATAATTAAAGACAAGTATTTGCTTTTCTTTGAGCAATTTAGATGGGAGTAGGAGGGTTGAACTTCATTACGTTACCAGAGTCAAAAAACATATTGGGACACTGATACGATCCTGACACCATAAAATGGAATTCAGTGTATCAACTTGTACTCTACTTAGCAGCAGGATGTTTTCTCACAGCCCTTAAAGCCAGCTTCCTTGTTAATGAGCTCGTAGTGCCTTCCTGGGGACATGTGAGAGCCCTCTCTAGAGCTCTCCCTTCTACTTTATCCTCTAAGAGCTCTGTTCCTCCAAGCAGGCTCCATTCCCTGCCCACCTGCCTCATGTGGCCTCTGCCTCTTGCTTTTCTGCAAGATGTCTCTCCTAACCCTGGTGCAAGGTAGCAGCAAGATGGCCAAGATTAGAGGAACATGCCTTCCCGCAACAAGGAGTCTACTACAGGCAGGCAGACAGAGGTCAGGCAACAGCAGACTCTTCATGACAGCTGGGGAGCAAGCAGCGCACGGGGTGGTGGCCACACAGTACATTCGGGGGAAAGACCTGTAGCCATCACCCTCCCTGAGAAGGAACAGCGGCTGGTACAAAGCACTTGAAGATACAGGAAATGTAATTCACCCTCCTGCCACGCACCCTGAGGGCCGACACTGGTAACGGCCACTGAACCCATCCCACGTGCTGCTGCTTTCCAAGCCCCCTTGCAGCCCTGACGCGGAACGCAAGCAAACCGTAATTCGACGACACGATTCTCCCCACCACGTACTCTGGCTTTGTCGGCTTGCCTTCTCAGCTCCTCCGTCTCCTGCAGCAAGTCGCTGTTCTCCTTTTGTGCTGCCTTCAGCCGCTCCCCTGCGTCCAACAGCATCTTCTGGAGGTTCTGCAGAACTTCTTCATGCTTGGCCTGTGTCTCAGAACTGGCTTCTTCATACCTGGCTTTCAGCTCTTGACACTCGTTGTGGCTCATTTGCATTTTCTTTTCCTGCAGACACCCCGAGTCAGGAGTGAGTCATTTGGTCATGTCCGTTCTGCCCCTCAACCTCCCCTGCCAGCCAACCGTCCCACTGATTCTCTCCTTACCAGGTCTGACAATTTTGTCAGCAGTTCTCTCTTTTCTTCCTCATGCTTTTTAGCTGCTTCTTGCTGGCTCTGTTCAGCTTTGAGAGTTACTTCCCCAATACTTTTCTGCAGGAGACTTGCATTTTCATTAGCCTTGGTGAGTTTTAGCTGTAATTCTTCTACATTTCTAGAACAAGTTTCAATACAAGGCATCAGATTTTTCAAAAGAGTACTTTAAATTCTAGAGTTGTACTTTAAAATATTAATAATAATTGTCTTAATGATTATAAATGTTATGAGCAATTAATAACATCTGAAATAAGCAAAAAACAAAAACAAAAACTGACTTGTCCTGAAGAATAATTTTAACAATTGTGATGGTTACAAATACCTTAACTACTCCTCTAACTGGGAACATTTATTATTTTATGTCAGAAGATCAATAAGGAAAAATGAGTGAAAAGTAAGCACATTAGAGGAGGTAAGTATTTCGAGGTTTACAAATTTTAGCAGAATAGATTATCAAAGACTCATTTTGGGGTCGCTTGAGAACAGAAGATACGAAAATAACAGTAATGTGACGTTCTAGCTCAAAGAGAACCACGTGGTCCCACAAAGATGTAAGAGGGCCATCAACCTGGAGAAAAGGCTGGCTCATGGACCGGAGAACAGGAAGGAAACTTGGACGGTGCCTCTGGATAAGCAGCGACAGAAATGGAACTTCTCCAAGGCTCTGTGCCACAATCGGCTGGGCAGCTGTGCCCACCTCACAGCAGGACTGCCACAGTCGGCCAACCAAGGCCCATCTGCCCATCACCCACCAACGCTGGGCCGTGTGTGAGTGCACGGCTGGACGTAAACTAACTCTGCCAAGTATTAATGCTTTCAGAATCAGAAGTCTACCGGGGCTAATATGTCCTCTAAAAGTTTTTGCCTTATAAAATAAACATTTGATTTTTATATGGCAGCCATTAAAAGAAAAAAGAAATCAAAGCAACGAGAGCCTCAGGATAAAGACGAGAAGAGAGATTACGATAACAGAAGCTTCAGCGCTGAGGAAGCAGGGTGTAGTGACGAAGAGCAGCAAGGGCTCTGGGACCAGACCACCTCGATCTGAAACCTCAGGCAAGTTACTTAACCTCATTAAGCCTCAATTTCCTTTTCTTTAAAATAGGAACAATAGGGGCTTCCCTGGGACACAGTGGTTAAGAATCCTCCTGCCAATGCAGGGGACACAGGGTCGAGCCCTGGTCCGGGAAGATCCCACATGCCGCGGAGCAACTAAGCCCACGCGCCACAGCTACTGAGCCTGTGTGCCACAACTACTGAAGCCTGCGCGCCTAGAGCCCGTGCTCCACAACAAGAGAGGCCACCGCAGTGAGAAGCCCGCCCACCGCAACGAAGATCCAACGCAGCCAAAAATAAATAAGTAAAAATAAATTAAAAAAAACAAAATAGGAACAACAATACACTCACCTGAGAGGATTATTAGGAGAACCAGAAAATATACTCTACACAAAGCTGTCAGCATAGTGTATGACACGTGGTCAGCCCCTCACACGTGTTATCTATCATTACACTGAAATAGGTTAAAAGTATTTTTAACTGCCTGTAAAAGATGTTATTGCCGTTGGTAAACTACTACCTTTTCTTTACAAGTCACCAGAAAGTCTGCAATACACTGCGATAACAGAGAAAGAATGAGATTCAGGCAACTTTAAAACCTAACAGTCCTGAAGATTTAGGCTCCCCTCCCACCCAGACCTTGCTCGAGGGCCTAACCCAAAGCAGGCGCTCTTATTAATACTCATACGTACCTTTCTTTCAGACGTAATTCACCATTCATTTTTGTCAGCTGAGAAGAACTGTCTCCTGACATTTTCATTATTACTGCAATGTCGTTTTCCAGCTTTTCCTTCGCCTTTATCAACTGCTCTTCCCTTTCGTCTCTCTCTCTAAATTTTGCCTCCATATCTGAATATATATAGAAAAAAATAGCACTGTTGTGTTATAATCAACAAAAATGTATTAACTACACCCTGTATGCCAAGCCTTGCTCTGGGAATATTTGCAAAGAGCGATCCCTGCCCTTATGAAAATTACATTCTAGCAAAGAAGACAGACAATAAACAAGATAAATAAAGAGAATAAATAGTACAATAGATAGTGGTAAGTGCCAAGAGGGAAAAAAATACAAGCGGAGAAAGGAGTCAGGAAGGAGTCGGGGAGGTTAAAACCTTAGACAGAGCTTCTCTAAGACGGTGACATTTACATAAAACCCTGAGGGAAGTGAGGGAAGAGGAAGGCAGGCAGAGGGGAAAGCAAGAGCAAAGGCCCCAAGGCAGGAACATGCTTGACAATCAAGTATCACCAAGGAGGCCAATATGGTCGCAGTGGAAAGAACAAGGGGAAGAATAGTACAGAATGAGAGCATAGAGGTAAGAGGACCTGACGACAGTAAGGGCCACAGCTTTTAATGTGAGCGAGACGCGAGCCACTGGGCCGTTCTGAGCAGAGAAGCGACCTGATCTGACTTGATGTTGAAGGGATCCCCCTGGCTGCTGGGCTGAGAACAGACTGCAGGGGTCAAGAGCAGAAGCAGGCAGCCCAGGTGACCAGCTGTTACTACAGCTTCGATTAAAGATGCTGGTTGACTCGGATCCAGGATAGCAGGGGGAGTAGTGAGATGGGGTGGATTCTGACTCGTTTGAAAACGAGGCAGAGAGAATTCGCTAAGGTTTACAGACCTCAAACAAGTATTTTATCACAATGTAACACGAGTGAAGAATTTATGCCTGAATAGTAGATATGCTGTGACACTAAAATTATCTCAAATCTTAGGAAGTCTACTACATTTAACGTGTAGAGACATCTT